TCCCCACCCACATCTTTGTGCTGGTTAGACTAAAGCTTTTCAGGGTTTGTTTGTGTGTGTTCATACTAAATGTAAAATGACAACAAAAACAAAAAGAAAAAAGAAAAAAATAAAGACAGCAGATTCTCACAGTTTTTGTGTTTTTTTTTCTTTTGTTTGTTTTTTTTTTGTGTTTTTTTTTGTGTACTTTTTTTTCTGTCAAAAAATAGCCTTAGCGCTTTTGATCGACTGTATAGGAGCCGTTGGTTGTGTGTGTTATGATATAGCATTTACTCACAGGATAGTTAAGTCAAGAGAAACACAAAGAGTCACATTATTCTTTTTTTTTTTCTTAAATATTAAAAAGTAGTAGAGTATCACCAGCCAGCTTCCCTCCTCTCCTAACCCTCCTTCCTTCTTTCCTTCTTCCCTCCCCTCGTCTGGCCCTGTCGGGAAGCTGCTTGGCAGCCCTGGGGATTGTACATTGCTCATGGTGGTTTTCACTTACTGAAAAGGTTTTCCTCACATCATCCTTTTGCAAATGACATTTTTTTTTCTTCAAGCATTTAACATTGTCCAGCTTTTTAAATACACATATGCACACGTACACGACTACGAAAAAAAACTAAAGAAAAAGTATCAATCCCTTTCCTTCCCTCTCACCCTCCCTCCTCGATTTGGCATGATAATGTGTTCGAACATACATACGCACTACTACGAGACCGGGCTTTCCCACGCACGCAGACACGCATACCGACAGTAGATTGGACGAGACGGAGCGAGAATTAAGCTGGGAACCAAAAACAGTAACAACAACATTTACGAGAGGCATTTTACAGACGTTGCTTGTCCCTTCTCTAACAGCAGAGCGGCACCGCCTCCTGAGCGGCTGATCTGGGGTCGGCTGTTGTCCCGGTAATGGTTAAGGTAAGGATACTGAGAAGGGACGAGGCGGCTCCCAGATCAGCGTGAGGAGAGCAGCGCTGCCAAAAAAAATAAAAATCAGAATGAACAAAGTGTAAAGTAATTTCATTGAGCGGAAAAGGGAATATAGACATTGTAGAGTGCACTTGCCCCAGACCTCTTGTCAGTTTTGCGCCTCCTCTCCTGTAGTTAAGCTTTAGGAGTCAGAGGAGGACAGCTGATCCTGGATAAGCCAGCGAGGGGGCAAGTGTAACCCCGAGTCCCTGAAAAGCCAGGAAGAACTAGCCAGTCACAAGCCACATCCCCCTGCCTGAGTCACAACAGCCCCACGAAGAGCCTCTTCTCAGTCAAGCTCAAGCATCTCTATGGCAACAGCCACCAACGATCACCATGACAACCAGGCGCATTCAGAACAGCAGTTGAAATTCCTACTTCCACGTTTGAGGCCGATCAGGCGCCAGAGGAGGCGGATCGAGGCTCCGCTGTCGTTTACACTTTAGAAACCGTTATCAGCTACATTCTGGCTCGGTTCAGGCGGCGTGGCGAGGTCGCCGCTCCCGACCGGGCCGGCCCCAGCGAAGGGGGAGAGGTAAACCAGGAGAGGACGGCACCTCCTCCGTCTTCTCTCGCCGCCACGCTGAGACCAACAGAGCACCATCTTCTCTAGTCACAGCACACACACACACCTTTCACTTCAGTTGAAAACAAGTAGACACACACACACACACACA